ATAATGCTGCCATACGTCCCATTTTTTTGGATGTATCATGTATATGCATATTCTAAATTTCAACTTTTATTAAGTTGCTGCTGATAACTTTTTTTTTTTTTTTTTTTCATTCCTTCAATGGCTCAGATCGTTTTGTTTTTAATCATCTAATGGCTGAAAAAATGTATGTACATCCCAAAATATCGGAATGCATTGTAGTTCTACCGGTATGTAATACAGGTAAAGCATCTTATGAGGTCGAAGCAAGAGGCCTCTAAATGTGAAATTGAAAAAAAAAAATATATTACTTCAGGACTTATTCCCAGTGGAACCATGCTTATTCCTGCTATTACTTCTGTTATTTAGATGCTAATGATTCTTAAGATCGACTTTAACGATATTATTATCGGTTAGCAAGCTTTAGTATCATGTTGCAAGAAACAAATTAGGGGGCATTATGCCTAATCTCTTCTATGCAACTTTAGGATAGTACTGTTCTAGATTATAATTTTCTTCCTTTTTTTCCCCCCTCTTTGTTGCATTTCTATTTAAGAAATGATTTATACAGATAGAGATCTCAGGTCAAGATTGACACTAATTAATATCATGTTCTTTTGTAGTGGTTGTTGGAGAGATAGCCAATTTTGCAGCCTATGCATATGCTCCAGCAATTCTTGTTACTCCCTTGGGAGCTTTAAGTATAATTTTCAGGTATGCAACATTTTGGCACTTCGTTCACTATTTCATTTTGATGGAATGAATTTGTTACATTTTGGCACTTTGTTCAAGTAATTATATGTAGATCTTGTTGTGCAGTGCAGTGCTTGCTCATTTCATTTTGAAGGAAAAATTGCATATCTTTGGTGTGCTCGGTTGCATTCTCTGCATGGTCGGCTCAACGAGCATTGTTTTGCACGCTCCGCAGGAGAGGATTATAGGTTCAGTAAAGCAAGTGTGGCACCTTGCTACTGAGCCAGGTATTTATTATAATGATTTTTACATGCCTAGGCCTCTCGACTTTTTGACCTTTGGCATTTGGGTCTCCATTTTAAAAATTTGGACAACCCGATCCCTAAGTGTCAATAAGAGGGGAGTTTGGGGTCCCAGTTGTCCAAATTTTTAAAATGGGAATTTAAATGCCAAAGGTCAATAAGTTTTGGGAATCCAAGTGCAAAAAACCATTTTAATATAATTTTCCTAGTTTCAGTCACCCATTTGATCCAACATAATTTTGGTCTAAACTAGCTTATTATTTATTTAATATGCTAGAGGTGTCATGTGAGTTGATAGAATAACATTTATTGATTTAATCTTTTTATTATCTTGTTAATCAAACTTGTTATCTGGCTGTCACAATTTTATAGGACAGACTAGGTTAATAGAAGACATATAGGTTTAGTTCTACAAACTAAGATATTATAAGCCAGTGTCCATCAACATAAGAACAATATATTTGAGATTCCAACTTGGCTATTTTAAACTACTAAACAATTTTTGGTTTTCTGTCAACAGGTTTCATTGTCTATACCGGTATAGTTTTGGCTATGGTTGCTGTGCTAATCTTCCGGTACGTTCCGCGCTATGGAAAAACTCATATGGTGGTGTATGTTGGAATCTGTTCTCTCATGGGTTCTCTTACGGTATGTCATTTCTTTATTGTCTTTAAAATAAAAAAAAATGGATATTGTCAATTTTAGTTCTTATAGTGTTCATTCTATCTGTGTAGGTAATGAGTGTGAAAGCATTAGGAATTGCTTTGAAGCTGACATTTGAAGGATCAAATCAGTTTATTTATTTCCAAACATGGATTTTTACTGTGGTAGTGGCAGGCTGTTGTCTTTTGCAGATTAACTACTTAAACAAGGTATTAAATTTCAGCTATAAGGATTGTCAATCTGCCAAGTTAGTCATTCCTATTGCCAAAATTTCTATTACACCTTTTAATACAATAATTTGGTTTGGAATCACTTCTGAAAATTATTTTCTGGCTAACTTTTTAAGCCGGGGAGAGTTGCAAGTATGTTCAATTGAATACTTCTTTCAATATACTGTAGAAGAAAACTTCATCCTAATATTTCCTATCAGATGACCAATTTCGATTTCTGATTTGGATGCATCTTTCCAGGCCTTGGACACCTTCAATACGGCGGTTATATCACCAGTGTACTACGTTATGTTTACGACTTTCACGATCCTTGCGAGCATGATCATGTTTAAGGTGATTTTCACAAATATGCTTTCTCTAGTGTTTGGAATGCATTTTCTGTTTGTCAGTTGATTTCTTCTTTAAAGCTTTTTATTAAATGACTTTTCTTATCTATATCATAATTTCTTGCTAACCAAAAAGTCCTGCTATGGTCAATTATGCAATTGAAAGTACAATTATTTAATAGTCCCAGATGAATTGCTTGAAAAATTATAATCATAACTAACAAGAACAGAATCTGTACATATCTGACCAATTTCATGAGAGTCATTGCACTTGTATTTGAAGTTTCTGTTTTCTCAATGATGACTGCAAAACTCACTGACCATATTGAAATAATCCGAACTGTTATTCATGTGATGTCAACCTTGCTCTTCATTTTTTTTTTTTAAATTTGATTTATGAATATTTCATGTCTTTTACTCCGAAATGTTCTAGAATTTGTTGCTTAATCTTGTGATTTAAGAAATCTCAGTAGACCATAGTTATTAATTAATTCACTCATTCTCTTGCAAAATTTCTTGCTAACAATTTCTTTTTGTTTTCTGCATTATTTCCATCTTATGCTATTTCTTTACTTTTTTTTCCTTCGGTGAATTTTCTTTTGTTACCAAATACAGGACTGGGATTCACAAAATGGATCACAGATTGTTACTCAACTTTGTGGTTTTGTAACAATTCTATCTGGCACATTTCTCCTTCACAAAACCAAGGACATGGGAAATACAACACCGGCAGAGTCCCCGGTCTTTCAGAGTCCGAGCCACCCCACCGAACGGCGAAGTCCTGGATAGCGCATGATATAGAAATTTAGCAGCATTCCTTGAGTCTTATCTAGTCCTGTGCCTGTACAACTTTCAGAAGGGTAGAAAGAAAGAGGTTATTAGGTGAAAGATTATTCTTTATTCTTAGAAAGCAACAAAAAGTGTCGAGAATAGGATTTTGTCTAATTAATCTTAAGATTTGATGATGACTGTTTAGCTAAAATCCAGTGATTCCATAATTCCTAGGCCTTTTTTTTTTGTTTCCTTCTCGAATTGAATTTATGTCAGTGAATTTTCATTTGTAAAAGATTGTACCTTTTTTTTTTTTTTTTTTTTTTTTTTTTTCATTTCTAGTATCTCCTTGAAGATGTTTCTAAAAACTTCTGCTTCATTTTTTCTAGATTTTCTTTTAGCATTGTCTCAAAGCTCCCTTTCACACTAACAAAGTTAGCAAGCACAATTGTGGAGACGAAATGAAAGAACCAAGGTGCGTTTAGAATTAGTTTTAAAATAATTTTATTTTAATAAAAAGTTAAAAACAGATTGTTTTGAGAATCATTTTGGGATTAATTCTAAAATTGCCTTTGGTTGAATTTTTAAGAGATTGTTTTGAGTATAATAAAAAAGTGAAATCATGTTTATTAATTAATATATTATAATATTATTGATAAATACTAAAAAATAAAAACAAAAAAGTGAATAACTTTCAACCGTTTTTTAATTCCTTCACAAAAATCATTATCATTGTTTTCGTTTTCAAAACATTTACTAAACAAACATCGTTTCGTTTTCAAAACATTTACTAAACAAACATCGTTTCGTTTTCTTTTTAAAAGATTTTTCTTTTTTTTTTTTTTTTTTTTTTTTTTCATTTCTAGTATCTCCTTGAAGATGTTTCTAAAAACTTCTGCTTCATTTTTTCTAGATTTTCTTTTAGCATTGTCTCAAAGCTCCCTTTCACACTAACAAAGTTAGCAAGCACAATTGTGGAGACGAAATGAAAGAACCAAGGTGCGTTTAGAATTAGTTTTAAAATAATTTTATTTTAATAAAAAGTTAAAAACAGATTGTTTTGAGAATCATTTTGGGATTAATTCTAAAATTGCCTTTGGTTGAATTTTTAAGAGATTGTTTTGAGTATAATAAAAAAGTGAAATCATGTTTATTAATTAATATATTATAATATTATTGATAAATACTAAAAAATAAAAACAAAAAAGTGAATAACTTTCAACCGTTTTTTAATTCCTTCACAAAAATCATTATCATTGTTTTCGTTTTCAAAACATTTACTAAACAAACATCGTTTCGTTTTCAAAACATTTACTAAACAAACATCGTTTCGTTTTCATTTTCATTTTTCGCTTCTCGAAATACGTGAAAATAGTTTTTAAAAATGGTTCCAAACACGCACAATATTTTTAATGATTTGTAAATTAACGACATGAACCTAGTTGATGGGTTCAAAAACCCACAATCCAAACAACCTCTACACGTCTTAAATGATTGTTGATCAGTCGTTAATAGGATGGCAATTCGTGTTGGCGGGTCATGTTCGTGTCGTGTTGATCACCTCAGTTTACACGGTTAAGCCTGACCCGAACACGACCCGTTTATTATTCGTGTCGAAATACCAATCCCAAATACGACCTATTTATTAGCGGGTTGACAGGACACGACATGACTAACCCGTTTATTAAGTAGGTCATAATCGTGCCGTGTCAACCTGCTGATTACCTGTCAACTCGTTTAAAAAATGAGTGATAAATGGGTCTTGTCAACCTATTTCTCAACCCGTTTTTCAATTCATTTATAAAATAGATAATAAATGGGTCGTGTCAAGCTATTAATCAACCTGTTTCTCAAACATGTTTCTCAACCTGTTTGTACTTAAAGATCTGTTTCTCAACCTCTTTAACATGCTGAAGAAACATTAAATAATCTAAGTTAACAATTAAAACAAACACATAAAACTCTCTTACAAATTAAAACAAACACATAAAACTCTCTCACATAAAACAAAATTGAGGATAATTAAAGCTGAGAATTTGCAATTAATACCAAAAACTTGGAGCAGAACAACTAGGCATCGACATCTCCATGTTGAAGAAAAAAAAAAACTTCTTCTATTTAACTCTAGTCGCAAAATTCTTGGTATAATTTCTAGGAAAACAAGTAGGCTATCCTTATCATATACGTATAAGTCAAGAGTATTCTCTTCTTTATACGTTCTATATAGTATTTATAAGCAACTCGATTCTTCCATATCACAAGTGACTTGAGAAAACTCCATGACCTACATAGATGTAAAAAAGAGCAGAAAATACCATAACAGTCAGATGAAATTACACAGGAAAGGATTTATTTTCCGACTTTCCTCTTTAATTTTGGTTGGGTTATATCCCCTTTTTCCCCTGTTTTACCCTTCTTTACGGGAGAAAGGAAAATGAAATGAACCGAAAACACATAAGGTGGCCGGATTTTGTGGAATTCGGATTTTGATCTAAAAATGAAGGGGAAAATTCGGAAATCCCATCTAGGGTTAAGTTTTCGAATTTCTTCCTATAAAGAGATATTATTGTAAACCCTAGTAGAGGCTAAGAAAAAAAAAATATCTCACTCCTATTCTCTCCCTAAGGGGGCCGGATTTTGTGATTAAAAATAGAAGGAAAATTGTTTCCTTAGGTTTTTGAAAAAGAGCCCACTCTCTTCTCCCAAACACTAAGAGTCATAGTCTTGAATCAACGAGTGGTTTTTGATGTGTTCGTGTTCATAAATCAACGGTCCTGTTTCACGGCAATTCTCCATCTCGGAATGTGAGATAGTGAGACAAGATCCTTGCGGCCATATTTGATCCAATCGTCTTAAAGGTATGATTGTCATTTTATTCTTTTCTCCATAAACATATCATGCATGAATCTATCGTTGTGATTTGTGTTTAATTCAGAATTAAAAGGATATGTGAAATTTTTTTAAATTTCCGCCTACAAGTTTGTTGTTGTTTAAATGATTTTTCACTTAAAAATCACAACGCGATCCTACATGCCTAAAACTGATTTTGCTAATTAATCTTGTGATTAAAGATTAAGTTTTTGAGTTATTTTAAGTACTTATAAATTACTTTCAGTTTTTCAATTTTCACCCCAAAATTTTTGAAAATACACTTAATTTTAATGTTTTTTTTTAATTTTCTTTTCTTTTCCTTTTTTTTTATTTCTTTTCCTTTTCTTTTCTCTCTTTTCTTTTTTCCCTTCCCTTCCCGTGGCTACCAGACTAGCCCTCTCTCTCTCTCTCTCTCTCTCTCTCTCTCTCTCTCTCTCTCTCTTTCTTTCTTTCCTTTTCTTCATTCTTCTTCCACGGGAACTCCCTCTCTCTCTTTCTTCCTTCTCCGCCGGCCACTACTCCCTCCCTCTCTCCTGTCACCTCTCTCTTCGGTCTCTCTCTCTCCCTTGCTCTCTCTGAGTTTCTCTCTCCCTCTCTCTCTCGGCAGTTGGCCGAGAGACACAAAAAAAAAAAATGAAAACGAGAGAAACTGAGGGAAACAAAGCTCCATCAACTAATTTGAGGTAAAACCCCTTGAAACCCACTCTTTGATTCAAATTTTAAGCTTGAGAAAGTTTACTTTTTGTTAGATTTGAATAATTTTGAGTTAGGGTTTGGATTTGAAAAATTGTTGGTAGAATTGAATGAAATTTGGGGGTTTTCAGTTATTGGATTTGTTTAATTCATTGAAAACTGGTTTTGATGGATTATGGATAATCTATTTTGAAATTAAACTTGAATTGCAGGTTTGGCATTTTTCCTATTTATGCCGGCATGCTGCCGAAATTTCTTTAAAAACTTGTTTTTAAACTGAAATCAAATAGAAAACCAAACCCATGGATTGAATTTCAATCTCTAAAGAACCCTCAAACTGATTATAAACTCGTTTGTGAAACTTGGATTTGAGTCAATGCACACTAATAGGAAACAATTAAACATGATTGAGCTTAATTCCTTTTAGGAATGACAAATACTTCCTAAGATATTGCTTTTGTGATAATGCTAGTGGAGAAGGTCGAGTATTAAAGGTTTAAGGAAAGCGGAGGCTAGAAGAACGGAATGCTAGCCCAGGTTTGACATTCGAGAGGTAGGATATTCTTGTCCATATCCTTGTTAGCCTCACTTTAAATGATTTTGGCCCATGAAAATATTTTAGAACAAAACATGTTGAAAGAAAATGATTTTAAAGAAATAGCATGAGGATGCTATTAAGTTTTCCAATGATTTTGAAAATGAGATTTTAAAGAGTATCATTTCTTAAAATGAAATATTTTAAGGAATGATACAACGCATGGTGGCCACAGAGATCGGGATATGAGAATCATATCTTTGGGGGCAGGTCCCGAAACCCGTACGGATCCACTTCTTGCTCAGTAGAATTATGGCTCTGCACTTTTTCACTAGACAGACATTTTACCACTCCTTGCTCAGTGGTATGATGATCTGCACACTTTCATATTACAGATATTTTCTACTACTATATGAGTACTTCCTTTTCTAAAAAGGATGATCGGTTCCGGGTGCATGTCTTCGGACCGTGAGTACCTTATCTATTATGTTTTATAAGATTATGTCCTATTGGGCATTCCGCTCACTTTTCTATGTTTTCAATGTTTTAAACCCCTCCTCCAGAGTTAGCGGTTTAGATTTACAGCGTGACAAGTGGATGTCGATGGATTGAAGGCGTGAGATTCGAAGCGGTACGTTTGTTTCGGATTTACAGTTTTAAATTATGAGATGTATTGTATTTCTGTATGTAAACTGTATTGGTCGACATTGTCCCAGAGTTGTACTATTTTTCTTGGACTTTATGGACTATTTTAAATATTATTTGTGAAAGAAAGTCTTCGGAGCAAACTATATTGATATTTATGTATTTAGCTTTGTGATTTTATTAAACAGTCCAATTTAATTAAGTTAAATTTTAAATTAAACCCTAATAATCATAGTTCTATCCTTAGGGTCGTGACAAATATTTATTATTATTACAATCATCACCATCAACCTCTTTCAACATAATTGAGTCCACTTCTTCCATCAGTTCTTCGAAAAAATGAAAACCAATCAGGTAATACTATACATTACATATTAAAATTATTATTACATTAAATATAAACAAATTTATTATTATTCATCATAATTAATTAACAACTAATTTTTCTTCTTTTCCATAATTTTTTATTGCAGCTCAAAAGAAA